TGGAGAGGGGCCTTGTGCTGGTCCCCACCACATCCAGCAAGTGCTTGTAAGGGCACAGGAGCCATTGCAGAGCTCACTCTAAGCGCGTCCCCACAAGATGTTGCAGATCCCGTGCAAGGCAGGAAGATGTGACGACTCACACGATGATGGCAAAACATTGCATGGCGCCAGCAAGAGGGATGCCATCGCCGAGATGTCCCTGCCCATCTTCAGTTCTGCAGAACAGGCAGGACAGCTACGGCCAGCACAGGGCTCCTGGGGAACACAGTTGGTCCCCCAGCCTCAACGCAGCGCCCGTACTGCAGACCACACGGCCTCAGCCAAACCATGCAGCCAGGAACTGGTGGCTGCTTCTTCCACTTCTGTCCATTCCTGTCCTCCCTGTGCAGAAGGGCTGCACATTTTATCAGTCACTAATTTCCCTGTCAGTCATTAGCAAAAAAAGAAAATCCCTCTCTGCTCTAGCAGCCTTGCCTGTAGCTAGAATTGTCCTTCTTCATCACCACAACTCAAGGCCCACAGCAGGTAGGGACTGTGCCCACCGCCTCTTCCTAAGCGTGGGAGCGTGCCAAGCCCCCTGCCACAATCATCATCTCAGCTTGAAGAGCTCAGCAGAGGCTCCAGCCTGGCCCCAGCATGCCTTCCCACCCGGCTCCAGGACATCTTGACATTGTCACCAAGAACAAGAACTGCAAACATCAGCAACACACACACCCCCAGGCACCTCCATCCTCCTGGACCACCTCCAGAAAGGACCACCATGACCTTGCAGCAAATGGGGAACCCTCCCACCGCTCAAGGCCAGCAGACGGGAGCTGCGAAGGGTGCTCAAGCCCAGCAGAGACACTCCATGTGGTAGACACTCCTTGGCCCCTCCAGAGAAACTTTTAATGGACAGTTGCATGCACTCTCAAATATTCCCACCTTATCTCTGGCTTCACCCAGCCTCCAGAGCTCTGCCTGTGTCCATCACATACTGCAGCCCTGAAGAATTAGAAACCTCCTCCCCACAGAGGCACACAGGAAATCAGGAAATAACCCGATCACCGTCTATCTCGGATGAGATGAAGGGTCTTCTCTGGCTTCATGCTGTCAGCAGGGTTTCCCCCAACACGCCCCAGCTTTTGGCTCTTCACTAAGCTTCCCGGCTTCTCCCCAGCCCTCAGATGCCCGCACAGCCTTGGCAGCCCCCACCTCCCACAGTGCCTGCTCAGCCCGAGTCTTTCCTGTGACGACCACCCACCTGCTCCTGGTCCCTCTGATCACACACGATGCCTTCTGGCAGAAAAACCACCCAGCCTGCCTCAGCAAACCGCATCACCGCAATGGCACTTCTGGTCCCCACTGCCAGTGCCCCCCTCCTCTGCTGTCTACAGAGGCCAGTTTACAGGATCCCAGCTCAAAAGGGGGTTTCTGCCAGGCCCCTCCAGAAACCTCCCCAACGTGATCAGTCAGTACAAGAAACTTTCCAAGATCCACCAGCGACAAGTTTTTCCATCTGCTTAAAATACTCCTGAGCAGGTTTTGCTCGGAGCTCGTCTCGTTGTGCCACCTGGTGATGCCAGGACCACGGACGGGATCATTGTATCCACCATTCCCTCCGCCAGCCAGACCTGCAATCCCGTCAAGCTCGCTCGACAAGCCCCATCTTGCAGGCAGCAGCGCTAGCGGGCACTAATTACCCCTCCTGCCTTTATTTGCGCAGTCCCCGCATCAGCCTCTCCACCAAGAAGCCCGGCACTGACAGCCGCAGCCCCGGTGGGTTTATTCCTCTACTGGGTCCTTGTGCTGCTCAGAGCCTATCTCCCCGTGGGGAAGCTTCTCCCCAGCTCCTGCCTCTTGCCAGGGACGTTTCTTGCCTCCTTCCCGGCACCATGCTGCCAAGTGTGGGGTGGAAGGAGGCCCGAGGCCACCAGCCCCAGCATCAGAGGCCACCAGAGAGAGTCCCATGCCGCACGGGACCTTCCCGGGCTGGAAGGTCTTCGTCTCTGTAGAGCACCGAGCACTTGGCTGCAAAGAAATGGCAAGAAGGGAGGGGGGGGAAGGTGGCCAGCAGGCCCCACGCTCTCGCACCTCGGCGAGCAACACTTCCCACTGGGGATTGTACCGGCCTCCTGCCGGAGCTGCTGGAGGACAAGCCTGGGCCACCCCGGCAGCTGCTGACGTGTGACTGGCATGTGGGTGCTGCCGGGGCATAGAGGGCCCTGCTGTGGCAAGCCCTCAGAGGCT